AGTCCAGCTGTCTTGCAAGGTTATACATTTATTGTGTTAAGGAATAATGAAAGCCAGTTCCACTCAGTCACTAGTTTATTAGGTACATTTAGCTATGTTATATTGAAACGTGTAGAAATATTAACTGAATATTAATTAAATATTAACATCACTGTAATTGATGGTTCTGAGTCGTGGTTGGTTGTTACTTAGTTTTAGCCAGTTGGGAGTCGTTTTGGTCGCTTTTATTTATTAATTTCTTTTCTACTTCTATTTTTTTTTTTGATCATGCAGGTTGGAAGGGTTAGACAGTCAAATGGTGGGCGATCCTGCGGCGGCCCCGCGCCCCCTCCGTTCCACTCTTGCAGGTAGCCCAGTTATCATTAGGAGCTCTAGTGAAAACAAATTCATTGGTGAAATAGTGAGTGTGGTTGGTGAAACTCCAGTTGAGAGACCCTTCATTATTCTCAGATACACTATGAATTATTATAGGCCCTGTAGTCCTATATATTAACCATGTGTGGGTATATTGGCCTGATTTGTCTCAGACTCTTGCTCACATAATACATTTTTTTACCTGTAAACTCAGAGATGGCAACAGAGAAACTGACTGTTTGGCTGATTTTCTTTTTTTTTTTACAAGATGAACATCACAGCATGCCGCTATTGTTTTACAGCAGGGCTGCTATTTAACTTTTGATTTACTATGCGGCGTTTCCTTATCGTACCAGCAGTTAAACTTAGTCAGTGTGAGGCTCAGCTATCTGATACAATAGCTTTGCATGTCACTGAAGTCTCTGGTCAAATCAGCCATCATTATTTCAAGGCCTCATACAAGCTTTCCTTTGTATTCTACAGTCCCTTATATATCTGTGGTCATTACAAAGATTTCCTAATGCCACTGAGGCATTCATTTTAAACAAATAAGAGTAAGATGAGAATTTTAATGGTACTCCAGTATGAGGATAGAAAGCTATTGTCTCTTTTAGTCTGTTTTATTTTTGTAGCCCAGGGCTTTGCTCTAAACCTTATTTGCTCTAAGGTTAATTACTTAGGCTCATATTTTTTCATACCGATGCTTGTAGGTATTCGCTTGCTCAATTCAGTCTGTCATCATGGGCCCTGGATAATGATGCAGGCCGACATATGGAGCATAACAACATCTCTATACAAACAAAAATGATGCACCACAGATGAACTCGGGTGGAGATGCTGTTCAGTTACAATAGAAAGCATAGATTAGCCCCGCAGCTTTGGTGGCCCAGAGGGAGGCAACTCTCAGGTGCAGCCGCAGTTATCTTCCTCCCATGGGAGCCGAATATACCAGGCCTGTTTGTATTTTCACCTTATGGCTCATATGGTGTCTGCTGCATTGCTAACGCTGCTCAGTTGTTTGCCTGTCTCGGGCGATTTTAAAATATGTGCAGCCGTGTGGTGATGTGGTGGTTGCCAGGGATTCAGGTGCGTTCTGGTGTGTGTTCATCCGGTTCCCTGTTACGGCTTTGATTGTCTGTCTATGTTTGTGTACATGCTTTCTCATGCTACCGCCCCCTTTGCATGCGCCACAGCTGCTCCCACCCTGCGCGACCGACAGCCAGACACAACAGCAGCAAGAGTGAGCACCCGTCATGGCTCTTCCCTGCTTGTGCCCATCGTGATGTGGTGCTGGTCGTGGTTGGCTGACCCCGCCGTAGCACATCCTGGGTCTCGTTGATAGACTCTGTCCTCGTGCTCCACCCCTTCCTAGTTGTTCCTAAATGTTTAAGCCTGGTTCCTAGCGGCAGGAGGATGGGGGGCAGCTGCCACGCGACATCAGCGTCTGTGGAATGAAGTCAAACGTGAAGTCTCGCCCCAGCCAACCCCTTTTGTTTTCACACACAATCGTCCCCACTGTTCTGATGTGTTTAAATGCTCAGATGCAGCTCTCCAGGAATGACCCACACTGCTGAGTGTTAGATAAAATAGATTAATGCTGTAGTACAATTACATCCTTATGTGCACCATATGAACGGTGGCAGGCAGCGTATCGGTGAGGCCTGTGTTGTAATGCATGTGGAATGCAGTAAACAGGATCAACGCAGCTACTGACGTAAGGGCTACACGGTCATTCTTGTTAAAATCACCATTTTCAGGTCAGCAAATCTTCATAGATGCGTTTGGGAGATTTGATGCAACCAAACAAAGGCTCCTAATGTCTTCCTGATTACCTCCTACTTTAAATGGATCAACATTGGCTAAAGTAAAGCTGTTCTGTTCTGTCTTTGCTGGACTTTACTGTGTTTTGTCCACTTTAGGCTGCTAGTATTGCTTCGCTGCTTGCTTTCACCACAACTCGACTCTGCAATTCAGCATTTCAATGCATATGTGAACCCATGAAAAATTGCTTGGCCACACCGGTATGATAGACTCCAGTCAGCCAAAAATGAAGGGGTTTGCTAAGCTCGGACTGTTTTTATAATTAGCAAAGGACTAGGGCTGCGCAATATTGCAATATCCAGATTGCAGAAGCTGCAATTTTTTTGATAAAAGTAAAATGTGTAACAAACAACTATTGCAGGCGGTAGGTCATACCAGCTGATGCTAATTAATGTTAATTCCATGAGTGATTAGTAATTGATGACAGGGCATCTTCTTGTATTTTAGTAGTAGTAGCTTGTGACAATATTTAGTAGTTTACAGTTGTTCATTTTAATGTGTTGGATACATATTTTTATCAACATCTAGGTAAATATAAGTATTGGATATTAAAGGACTCTGATTGGGATCAGGGCCAATAAATTTGATCGGGACATCCCTACTTCCTCAGCAAACAACAACACTGATACACCATGTGATGAACTGTGCACAGGCACAGACCAACACAAATCTATATCGGAAGGAATCACAAAGATATTTCTCAAAACCCGGTCTGTTCCTCCTCACTTGTGCAGTTCAGCATTGGTGCTTATTGTATTATCATCCACAAAAGCAGCTGCTGGAAGAAGCTGCTGCCTCCCTTCCTGTTTTTGCGAGCAGGAGATTGCTGATGAGCGGCTCCCTTTATCCCGTCAGTCAGAGCAGACACTAAGAACTCTTCACATACACACATGCGGCTTATGCTGCGTTACTGGAGCTCAGGCAGAGTTCAGAGCAGATAGAACAGAACAGCGTTATTTCCTATTGCTACACCGTTTTGTGCAGTGCAGGATTTTAAACCTATTCTAAGCTTCGATGTGTGTTTTAACTTGCAGTATATATTTGGTTTGTGCATGCCTGAAGTCAAGTGCTTCATCCCTTGCCCTTATATGGTTGTGGTTTCTGGTTTTGAGGGTGACTTCACATCCAAAGCAACAGAATCTCTTTTGTACGTCATTGTTTTCTTTTTGTTTTTGATGGCTGCAGTATTGTTAAATTAGTGCTGGCAAAGCCCACCGTGTCACCTGAGAAGCCTGTTCTCACTGAGGTCTCGGCTTAGCAAGGATCTATTTCCCAACATACTCCCGAGGCAATACGCTGTGACTTACAATTACAAATGGCCATGTTTGCTCCAAGTAAACTGAAGCCAGCATAGAGCAAATATTACATGGAAAGCGTTTGGCTTTGTCACATTCCTGTAGCTTGTTGACGTTGTAGAAGTTTGATGGGATGTTGGCGTTAAAGATGCTTCATCTTACAGTATCTTATTATATTGTTAGCAGCTAACCTTTATGTCTGTCTTGAAAGCTGAACCGCACATAGGAGCACATAGCAATGCCACATGGTTCACCTGACCGTTCTCTCCATTGCAGACCATATTCCAGAGGACTTAAGGGACCCGTTCTACACAGACCAGTATGACCAGGAACACATCAAGCCGCCCGTCATCCGCTTGCTGCTTTCCTGCGAGCTTTACTGTCGTGTCTGTGCCCTCATCCTGAAGACGGAGCAGGCAGCGTCTCTTCAGTCCCACCTGTCCGTTATCCAGGCTCTGTCCAGGAAGGGCATATATGTTGTGGAAAGTGATGATACACCCGTCACAGATGGGGACCTGGCCTGTATGCCCATCAAAATGGTGAGTGGTTGGACTTAAAGATCCGGTGTGTAACATTTAGGAGGATCTATTGGCAGAAATGGAATATAGCATCACCAGGCATGTTTTCAATAGTTTATAATCACCTGAAACTTCAAATTGGAAGGAGATGTTTCTGTCCACAATGGGAGCGGGTCCTCTTCTGTGGAGTCCGCCATATTACACTGCTGTGTTCCTATAGTAGCCCAGAACAGATGAACCAAACATTGGCTGTAGATGGGGCCTTTTGTGAATTTTGTGGCCACCGTTGTTTCTCCTATACGCTCAGAAGGCGAGTAGTATTCAGTTTATAGCAATCTGCAACTTCACCGCTGGATGCCACTAAATTCTACACACTGGACATGTATGATGTATTTCTATAACGCTTCTCAACACAACACAATTCCAACAGCATCACAAACAGCCTGGTTGGAACAGACATTATTGGTAATCACCTAAAAATGGTGGGTATCCCAAATGATATCTTGAGTTGTAAATTGAAAATGTGTAATCTCAGTGTACACAAATTGACCATTTACAACTTTAGCTGTTGCTCTTGGGCAGGCCATGATGTTGCAATAGCTTTTGCTAAATAGAACTTGTAGCCCTGATTGCCTGTCAGAGAAGAAGGAAACTAGGTCAGCAGCTATAATAACTTTGCACATTACATGTAACATCTGCAGCTCTTCCTGCTTCTGATGTGTTATCTTACCGCAGTGAAATCAGTGGGAGAGTCTGTGCTTTTATTCTTTTTAAGGACAATCAATCCCAGTCACAGGCATTTGAGACACTGGGAAGCTTCTATCTACTGTGTACAGTAACTTTAAAACCGTGTGAATAGGGATAAAAGTAGTTTGCAGTTGATCGTAGACTGCGTAGAAGTGAGTTTCAGGCGTGTTTTGCTGCCTGACTTAGTGTAACAGTCCCCAGATGATTAAACTGCACCCTTATCATGTTTGATTCAAATGAAGAGGTGGAATTTGACTGTTACTCATGCTAGTTGTGTGAGGACTTTGATGCAAGATAGGGCTGTGATTGTGTAGTGTTTGTTAAAGTGCTATGGCAGTGTTGGTTTTTGGCCAGACTTCTTTTCATTCTTAAAACACTTAAGGTTTTCCACATCTGTTCTTTCTCTTGTCGTTAGCCAAATATTAGAACCTGTTCTCATTTTCTGTTGGCAGTTTTATAGTAAAGCTGCTCTTGTTGTAATGTTATCAGTTAACATTTGCAGTGAACCATTTAGTCCTAAGTTGAAAGACAGTATCTCATTATCAGTGCACCGTGGGCAGGAGGTTGGGGTGGACTACAATGTATTACTGATTAGTGCATTTCATTTAGAGCTGCAACTAACAGTTGTTTTTGTTACTGATTAATCTACTATTGTTTGGATTATTGATTGTTTGGTCTGAAAAACCATCTGATGTTTTTGCTTAAAACGGATAAAAAAAAAAGATCAATAGAGTACAATAACTTTGAATCCTTGACTGAATAAATGAGAAAAGGCACCTTTAGGTCTAACAAAATGGGACTACCACGTTATGTATTCATTCATTTTGCCTATAACACACAGCTGTATTGATTCCATTTTAATCTGATGATATGGCTTTAACCCCTGTGTTAATACAAATCTTCTCTGCTGCAGTTGGAACTAACTGATACCCTGTTAATAGATATCTCCTTCTCTAATTTATAAAGATAAAAGAATGCACAAATCCTAATAAAAAAAAAAAAAAAAAGAAAGCTCGTGCCCTCTCAGGCGGTTTAATCGGTTACATCAGTGTTAAGAGGGTTACTCTTGTGCTAATACTTAAAAGAATGGATTTTATTGTCTGTGATATTTTTCTCACCTACATTTTTGCAAATCTGTTAAGAGCATTTACTGAATGCTGGCAAAATCTTCCCCTTTTGTCCTCCAATGCCCAGCTTAAACGCCTTTTATCCCACCTTGCTTATCTGCCATTCATAAGTTTCTTTCTGGGGGAAAGTTCAGTCTATGCAAAAAAACTGGTGGCTTAGATCTACTGACCCTTTGTGTGGTCATCATACCAGTGTAATGTTTATAATATTTTCACAGATCAGCTCTTCAACAGGTTAAATGTCCTCGGTGTGTAACCCACATCAGCTGAATCAACAGCCCCACATCACAGCGCAGTGAATGAAGTCCGGAGCAGCCCCGGCCCTCTGTGCCAATGAGATCCTTCACACAGGATAGAATAAACACCAACTACCTCACTTGCTCTCAGCCATCTTCTTACCCTTTTGTTACCATGGAAACCAGCAGTAGTGCTGAGGTTCTTCTCTGCAGGCTGGCTAGTCAGGGATGTCGGCTTTTTCTTTTCCTGCTAGCAGCCTGACAAAATAATACACGCAGGCCTGTGTGTAAGCAACCAGACACAAAGCCCTGAGAGGAGAGGGAAAATCCTGAGTAGGACATCGCTTATCTCTGATTGACTGTTGGAACCCCCCGCCTCCCAGTTTGCTGACTTGACAAGGCGTTTCCATAGAAACCTGCATTTTTCGGCATGTGTGTGTGAGAATGAAACCTGCACTTGCAGACAGTTCCTCTGCACCTTGTCTGACTCTTGTTGGGGCAACAGCTGGAGCTTGTAAAACCTCTCCACTTAAACTTTTGTATGTATGTGTGTGTGTGTGTGCGCGCTGTGTATCTGTCAGCGTGCACACACAGCTCAGGGCAACTGCTCCCCATGGGGCTCCATGCTGAGCTGATGAAGGGCAGAGTGGATGTTTGAGGAGAACAAAAGATTGAATATCATGCTGTTATATTTGCCCCTTTGTTTCTTTATTGAGCACTGCTTGTTGACACTGAGGTGGTAAGTGCAGTGTAGCTTTTGTTGAGTCATTCATTATTTTCAATTGCTGCTTTCAAAAATCAAAAACAATCTGAGGGGTCCTTATCCAAACAGTTATTACAATATTTGACCAAAATATTGCTAATAAACTTATTTGGAAGAGAAAACTAAATGAATGATACAGTTATTACTGTCTGCTAGTATTAGGTTAAAGTTCTGGGTTGTTAGGACCCTTTTGATTGTCTGTTTCTTGCCCTTTTGTACGAGCAGCGTCACCATATTAGCTTCCTCTATGCACCGTTTTCATCCTTTCTTCATGTACTAACTTGTCCCCCGTCTTGTGTAAGACTGGGAAGTAGATTCTCATTGTTATTATTGTCTGTGTCCATGTAGGTTGTGCTATGGTGAAAGCTGTGAATAGCTCTCATTCGTTATGTTAACGAACCTAATCTCTGTTTATTTCCATCACCAATTGGATTAAGCTAGCAGCATGTTACACAAAGCACGGACTGAAACAATGGCACGTCCGTATTTGTACTGTAATGAATTCAAGTGCTGCATTACTGACTCTGATGTTGTGGACAGGAAATAACCTTTAGTAACAGACTTTTACATAGAATGAGATCAAGAAAAAGAGGTTGGCAACCAAATTTGGATTTTGCCAGCTGCAGTGTTGCCAGCAGATTTATTGGTATTTGGTTGCTGTCAATTCCCACTCTGCCTATCAAGAAGCAATATTTTTACTGGTAGGCACCAGGTGTTGGGACACTTGGAGTAGGGATACCCCTGCTGGGCCTCTTGATTGCATGATGATGTAGAGAGCGGGTTTAAAAGTGGACACCCATTGTGCTGAATGAGAGGTGTCACCTTTTGATTAAACCGTGGCAGGTTATTTAAAGTTGTTAAGGAACCTCAGGATTGTCCTATTAGAGTTCTGAAGTAGACAGTCCCCTCATCCATTAATCTCATCCATTTATCCACACACCATGTCCGTCATGTCCGTCGTGTCCGTCCATAAATGATGGTCCGTTACCTGCAAAAGTTATGACTGCGATATATGTTTTAAACAAACTAGTTCTTACAAAGTGTCGTCCAAACATTTCTGAAGGATGTTTATAACAAACACCTACCAATTTTACTTTATGTCTTGGGGAGTACTTATTCATATGTGAACAGAGTTGTATAAAGCCTTTTGTGGCTCCAGAGGGAGCTACACAAAATCTGATGAACTGCTTTGAGTGATGTCTCCATTTGTGGTAACTTTTTACTGGGTAGATTTATCAGGAATGCTATACTACAAATACATTAAATTCACTTTAAATAAACTTTTTTAGCATAGTTCGCATTGCTAGTTAAAATTATAGTGTAAACACATACTTGAGATCATATTCCACCTAATAAGCTCCACAGTGTTTTATGTTGTTTGGGTAAATCTGCATTAGATGATTTATCTCAGCTTTTTCGCCTCCAGCTTTGATCTTAATTGCACTGGAAACTGTGGGGAAAATCCAATGAAATTCAATTGTCCTGTGTTTCTCTTTCTCCCTCACCCAGAGTGCTCACATGCCTATGATCGATGCCCTGATGATGGCCTACACAGTGGAGATGATCAGCATCGAGAAAGTGGTGGCTTCTGTCAAGCGCTTCTCCACCTTCAGTGCCTCCAAGGAGCTGCCCTTTGACCTGGAGGACGCTATGGTCTTCTGGATCAACAAGGTTTGAACACATAGCACAGACATAAGCAGTGCAGATACAATAAAAGAAGTGCAGCGTTTATTCCCTTAATGTCTAGGCTTCCTATCATTTTCACACTGGCATTATAGGTGACTTGTTTTTTTTTTTGTTTGAGGCCTGTATGCCACTGGTGCTCAGACAGGAGAGCAGATAAGAAATGTGGATCTGGTGCACACACAAGCAGCTTAGGCTCAAGTTGCACTCATCTTTCAAAGGGTTGAAGGCCCGAGGCAGCGAAAGCATGACTCAGTGTGTCCATTAAAATTACAACAAAGATCACACCACCACTGTCTGGGTCGAAATGGAAAGTGTTCCTTGATGTTAGGCAGCATTTAACACAATGCTACAGATTAATTAAACGGCTTCTGTTTCTTTAGCTTGTTGCGCTGTGTTTCTAACCAAGTCTCGCTCAAGGGAAAGTCTTGTTCTGAAATCTCGGGAGTGTTGAGGTTACTCTGTGAGAGCAGAAAGCGTAATTTAGTGTTATGTAAAAGATTTTCAATGTCATGGATGAATATTTAGCTTATGGATGAGGCTTTTGAATGTGATGCCCGCCCGTATTTATTTGAGCCGGAGTATACGCATAAGACTAAAAATTGAACAGAGGATGAGACGCATTCTTTTTTTTTTTTGGTACTTTAAACTCTCTGTAATAACAAAATGTGATTTTAGGTTATAAAAGATAAGTTCACACTCCTCTTACTACTGCAGTGCTTGTATACTGTAATATTTACTGAAGTTTCTCACATAATGCTCCATAACAATCATTAACCTCCAGACACCAGAGCATAAATCAAGAGCGCAGACCTAACCAGGGTATTTTCCCAATTACATTCATGATTTTTCACAACCATATTAAACTACCGACGTAATGTGGTCAGTACCCAACCCTAGTAACCACATTTTTTTTTCTTTTTTTTGTGCATGTAAATGTACTAAATATATCATTATTTCTTCTGCAGGTGAACATGAAGATGAGGGAAATTACAGAAAGGGAGCACAAAGTCAAGCACCACCCCCTGGAGTCCCCGAGCCACCAAAAGGTAAAGCCACTCATAGTGTCTACCACTTACTTCTTTTACAGGAGAGAAATCCCAAAAATAGTACACCAGAAAAAAATCTAAAAACCAGAACCAAAATGTCCAACAAGTTTCCGCCAGTAGCTCCATATTTCTGGCTTTTGGGAACTAGTAGAAGTAACTCCTTTATTAAAGACATTTTCCTCACTTCCTCACATAGGAGTGTGTCATCACCACAAAATCTTTATCAAGCAAAAACTTGGCTCAAGAAAACCCAGATGGCGTTTTGGAGTTGTTCTGACCCTGCTTTCCTTTTCTCTGTTTAAACCGGAAGCAGAGCCAATCCTTTGTCTGTGACCTCTGACCTGTTAATCTTTTTGCTCCTGTTCCTCATCTGTCCCTCCCTCCCCTCTCTTGTCCCTGCAAACTGGATAGTCTCCCTCCAAATGGTATTGGAAGCTAGTCCCTGTAAGTTGGATGCCAGTCCCCTCCCATAACCCCATTTTCTTCGCCCTCTCCCCCTTGCACGCATAGTTCTGTGTTGATGTGCGCGCACACTCCACCACGGCTCATTCAAGCTCATTCTGTGCTGCTTGTAGCCAATGTGTGTTAGCAAGGGGGAGAACGCTGAAAATTAGTTTTTTTTTGTTTCTATTTTATTTTATTTTTTTAACCTTGTGGCAAATATACCACACAGGTGTTAAGTTATTCTGACCTTTTTGAAGTGTTCAAAAGATATTCTTTTAGCTACGCAATGTGTGCTATCTCATTTCAAGCTCAAGAAGGCCATGTGGGTTGGCTGTGCGTGTGTGTGGTATTTGCTTGTCCAGTGGAAAAAAGAGCAAATCCATGCCTACACCTCTCCTTTGCTTTGCAGTCCCATCCCTGGCCACCTCCGCTCACTGATCTGCTTTGTCATTCCCTCTCCAGTCTCTCTCTTCTGCTCTCACACGCTGTTTCCTCTGTGTCCACGGTCTCCTCTGACAGTATTTCTTCTCTCTTGTGTGTGTGTGTGTGTGTGTCAGCCTGATGTCATGCACGAGCTGGCCCACTGCATGCTGGAGCCAGGGGACTTCTCTGAAGCGGTACAATGTTGCCTCTGAGTTAGGAGTAGACTCACTTATGTAGAACTCATTTTGTAGTAGAGCTTCTTAAGTTCGGTTGGTAGTTTCACCTGTGGCCTGTGACAGAAGCTGCCTCAGTACAGTTGGTCTAATTTTGTGGAATGATCTCCCAACACTATAGATGCATCAGAGTAAATTTTGTATTTAGATAAATATCTCTTTAGCTGCTCAGTTGTGTTGTGCTGTTTGTGATAGTTTTAAATCGTGCATGGTCATCACCAGCCCTGTTGCCATGTTTGATCAGTTATTATTTTATAAGGGTTTAGTTATTACTGAAAAATATATTGGCTTCTTGATCCATAGCCTGAATATATTTTGTGGCAGATACTCGATATGTCGGCCGTAGGATTGGGAACCAAAATGCAGTTCCAAGTTAGAACCAAATCCAAAATGCCAAGAATCGGGTACCCATAAAAAAATTACAATTTCGCTTCTTCTTATTGGTTCCTAAATGCAAACCGTGTGTTAGGTTTCCGGTATTATGATTGGCTGTGGGGCAGGAGCTAACGAGGAGCGAAGGTGAGTCGGTGTGGAGCGCCAAGGGAAGCGAGGTACAAAAAAGAAGAAAATAAATGTAAAACCAAGATATTTTACACTGTAAATTGACTTTACAAGTGGTCCAAAGCGCCTGCGCTAGCAATACCAACACTCCCTCGGTGCTCCTTGAGCTCTCAGTCTGGGAAGCGTTAGCTATTAGGACTGCTATAGCTGCATGGCTAAATTAGATAACAGAGATGTGCACGCTCTTGTGAATGTCTGCCATTATGTCTGCAGTCAGAGTCATAGTCACACGGCCATGTGTGGAGAGTGCAGACCAGTGTGTCAGCACTGAGTAGCTTAGTTAAAATCAATGCAGTAGTTGGTATTGCATAGTGTCTGATAGTATTTAGAAACATTGTATAAACAAACAATCTTTATATGGATTTGTCTTTTTATTTATTTATTTATTTATTTTTTTAAGAACTGTGAGCATGACATTTACAGTTGAACTTGTCAGTGCTATCTGTTGGACAGACTATGTATAGATGACACAGTTTCTAAATGACCTCAGACCTGGTTTGGTATTTCTCTACGGCTTATTGATCAATATATATGTAGATAATGATATATCTGCAACAAGCTAATGGGCTCCATTGGAGTCATTCCCACATCTGCATCATGTGATGCAAATACCTTGAGCGTCTTGCCGACCTGGAGAGACTGCAAGCCGGTCAGTCTGCATTTCCAAATAACTGTATAACAAATAACACATAATATGCCTTAATCACAAGTGACACAGAGAATGTAAGATTGATTAGTCATTACATAGGGAGTGGTGTTCCCAGTGTTAGGTGAATATTTGTAAGTCATGCAGAAGCATTTGGAGTTAGAAGCAACAGCACCAGTCAGTATAGTCTGCGTTGGCATCCTGTGTGGGCTATATTTATGTTGCTCCAAATCATATGTAGGTCTGTAATATCCAATTTCAGTTTCTATAATGGGTGTGCATGTCTGTTGTATTTAAGTAATTTGTGCTTTTTATTAATTTGCAAACTGAAATATAAACTTAAAATACCCATTCTTACCAGCTTTATAGTGTATGTATCCAAAACTAATGCACCTGGGGTGAGTGAGTTTCTGTACTAACACACTCATTTCCCATAAGTGGGCCAGTGATTACCCCAGTTTCCCTCCCAGTCAGCTGGCTCACGTAGCCTAGTTCGACTGGGCTCCACCACTAGTTGCCTTCCCACTAAGGCCTGAGGAAGGCTGACCATCCACTCTGTGTTGTTCATATCACTGCTCTAACACCTCCACCTCCATCCTCCTCATAGTTCGCCAGGTCTTCAGGGTTCTCCCTAAACTGCGTGATCATGGTGCTGCAAGATTTTGTCATTCAGCGTCAAGTTTCTTTTGGAAATGACACTAAACCTACTGTTGATCAGTACAAGAGGAGTATCCGCTTAAGTAAAAAATAAATAAAAGAAATTACCTACTACTTTAAAACTGCTGGGGAGAACCTTGATATGATGCTTAAATGGATAGTGTAGAACATTAACTGCTTCCAAAAACATCTGTACTTAATATATGCCTTGACTAGTTCAGACATGAATCTCACCACAAAAGAGATTTGTACTTGTGTGACACTAGTCATTGCATTTAGGATGTTATATGATGCATCCTCGTTGGTACAATGGCGGTGGGAGCTGTCACTGTGGCTTCTCATAAAACCCTCATCCTCTCCCCCTGGTGGTTAGGTACGGTATCGTCGGGAGCATGCTTCAGGCCGACAGCTGCCCTTCTTCCCACTGCTGGAAGACCTAATGAGGGATGTTTGCGACGGAGCTGCACTGCTCACCGTGGTCCACTGCTACTGCCCAGACCTCATGAAGCTGGAGGGTATGTTGTGCATACATGACCTTTCACACAAACCCATGTTCAATAGCTACATCTAATTATCAGTTACCCTCAAAGAATTTTTCCGTAAAGAGTATGAAGCTTTCTCTGCTAACATATTGAATTTGATATCCATGTGTGATACTATTTTTGGCACTTACATATGGCTTACTGTCCCAGTCCAGTCAGTGTGACATTTATAGCCATCAGGTCATTGAGTTGTGTCCCAGAGTGACATGCTCTCTGTCTGATCAGATATTTGCCTGAAGGAAGTACCATCCATTGCTGATAGCCTGTACAACATACAGCTACTCAGAGAGTTCGCCAACGAGTATCTGAATAAAAGCTTCTATCTGACGACGGAGGACATGCTCTACTCACCACTCGTGCTCAAGGTACAAACACTGACATACTGTGTTTTCATACACATTTGCAATAAAATTTACATTTAACTTTGTATTGAAGCCATTATATGCTGGGGCTATTCCTAAGCTTTATGATGATCAAAAATCTGTCTTCAAGTCTTTCTAACGTGTTTCTTGTACTCTCTGTGTAGCACAATGTGATGGTGTTCATTGCTGAACTCTTCTGGTGGTTTGAGACTGTCAAGCCAGACTTTGTCCAGCCTAGAGATCTCCAAGAGTTCAAAGATGGTAAATATTGATTACCATTATTACACTATCTGTGCAAAATTAAAATATCGCATAGGTGAAAGACTGACAACTTGCGTATGTAATAAAATTAACCCTCATTGTTTTAGCATTATGAAAGTTACCCAAAACATAAACTCACCAGTCAACTTTAGTTATACACATAGCTGCACATAAGTATAACTTTTTGTTTTTGCCCACTCCTTCAACATGGATCTAATAACCTACTCTGTAGATACAGAGAAGTAGCTTAAAGTCACACTTTATTGTACTTTTTTTTTTTGGTGTTGTTACTAAAGGAGAAACATGTTTTGCATTGGAAGTTGTATTTAAAATGTCCAATTTTAAATTGCAACAGACACTATGAGTATTAAGATGATCAACACCTCTCTCTTCAGCTCGAGCCATAGCTCAGCCCAAGAGTGCCCGCCCATCAGTGCCTATCTCCAACGCCACCAAGCGCAGCTTCCTAGTCAGCCCTGGTGCGGCCGATAACCAGAGCAGCCCAGAAGTCTGTAACAGGTACTTCCTGCACCCTGAAGACTCTGACCCCCTGTAAGTCTTCTCTCGCTTTCCTTCTCATTCCACGTCATCATGATCCTGTCTCCTAACCAGTTACAGTAGCCCTACAAGGATGGGTAGTTATGCAGCGGTGTCTTCATTCTCATGTCCCTTCCACCTCTAACCCTTTGTCGTCTCCATCACTAAATTTAATAATGATTTTCACAAAGTTAAGCTAATTATTGCATTTTCTCTTTGTCTCTGTGTGCATTGTAAGTGCTTGTGTGGGAGCCTGAAATTCTTAAAGGGTACAGAGCTGTCAGTTGTCTTGTTTTTCATGTCACTTGTCTGGTGAAATATTTGGCTTTTACTGTGTCTGAATGTATTTGGTTGGGGAAAAATGTCTTTTTGTTGTATTGATTTGGTCCTGTTCCACCCAGTGAAGACTTTTTGTAAACTTGTTGCATCCCGGCTAAAAAATTGTATTTATGTTTTTTTTTTTTTTTTGGCTTTTAGTAAAGGGGGACCAACCTTCAGCCCTTCCCACCCACTCCTTCCACTGCGACAGAGGCAACAAAAGCAGCAAGGAGAAGATGGTGCATGTAAGAACCTTACACCCCTGAATGTTCAGCTCGTCATTGTAGTATGTCTGTGAGCAGCAGCTGCCTTTATACTTATACATTGTTTGTGTGTGTTTCTGGTTAGGTCTTAGAAACCGCTCCAACTCCTTGACTCAGATGGACGGACAGCCCCGTGGCTCTGTGGTCGCATGGCCTGACAAGAGGCAGAGGTACGTAACCTAGTAAAAAAACCTACACAAATTACACTTTCCAAATGGGTTCTCATGAAAAACAAATTTTTGTACTAGTGTGGTTGATTTGGAAAACTTTCTTTTTTCCCTATATTGCAGTCCATATAGTGCTGTGAAGATGAGAAGATGACATATTTTTACAGATCAGAGGACTTTTATTATGGGGGTTGCAGGTTAATTGGCAACTGGTATGTTAATTGATAAAGATGTCAATATTTTAGTCATTTTTCAACATTCTAAACATTGGATGTATGAATAACGAAATTACTTTTATTTTTTGTATGTTGGTTTTGCCCTGCACCTGTATCCAACTTGGCTTGGATGTGCACACTTTACACCTTCTTTGCTTCATGCTTTATTTTTATGTGGCAGATTCTGACCAGATATCATATGCAGAAAATTTGGTTTAAGAATTACATTCATTGTAAGCTGTATATCATACTGACTTCCATTCCCATGCTCTCTCTCTGCAGACCACTGTCCACACTGAGCCCATACATGTTCCATTCAGCCACAGACAGTGATGCAGACATTGCTTCTGGTGACAGTGTGAGTCTGGCTCGCTCCATAAGCAAGGACAGCCTGGCGTCCAATGTCGTCACGCCCAAACACCAGACTTGTGCCCTCCAGCCGTCACAGGCTGCAATGCGCAGGGTCAACGGCCACAGCCTCCTGGGAAATGTCAACATTGAGGATGAGGAAGAAACTCTGGCGGCAGTTGCCAGGACTGATGGCTCCGTCATCCCTCAACAGGTTGACGGGACCCAAGCAACTGCCACAGCTGCACCCAAACCTTCCAAACCGGAAGCAGATAGCTTTTACCTAGAACCACTGATGCCTGCCATGCTCAAAACGGCTAAAGAGAAGTCTGTATGCCTAAACAAGGAGGAGGAGAGTGGTGAGGGCCCCCGCTCTTCAGGAAGGGGATCTCTACGTCGAGGAGATGGCTCGACATCAGCCGTTCGTAGGAAAGCTCCCTGCAGCCTGAACCAAACCTTTACCCCTCCGGGTGAGGAGGAAGACTTGTCAGAGGAGCCTCCACAGGCTCAGGCAGGTTTTAAGCCCACTGTTACCAGCAGCATGGACCCCTCGTCCAGAGAGCCAGCCGGGGGTTTTTACCTGCATTCAGATGCTGAAGAACCAAAGTCTGGCCAGGTCGTGGACGCTGAGCTGGAAGACCTGGAGGAAGAGGAAGAGGATCTGGATGAAGCTCTTACCACTAAAGATCCCAAATGGTCCAGTAAAGCCTTTAATGAGGAAGATGAAGAAGAAGAAGAAGAATCAGCCAAACTACAAGAGGACATGAATGTGAAAGAGCATGAGGACAAAGACCTGAACGGTGGCAGCGGTCGCTCCAGCCCCTGTCTCAGCGCTCACTCCCAGGCCAGCAGCATGGCCAGTGGCAGTGTGCGCATGACCTCCTTTGCAGAGCGCAAAGCCCAGCAGCAGCGCTTTGGCAGCAACCATGACCTACGCTCCAGTGCCTCCAGCTCCCAAAGGACCACTCCAGATGGGTCCGAGAGCAGCGGGCCCCTGGCGTCCTCCTGGAAGCTTAAAAGAGACCAGAGCCCCTCCTCACCCTTGGGAGGATGCTCTCGTATAGGCGACGGTAGTGGTGGTGCTAATGTACTGGCTTCTGAAATCGTCCAGCTCCGAATGCAGCTGGAGGAGAAGCGACGTGCCATTGAGCACCAGAAGAAGAAGATGGAGGTGCTGTCGGCGAGGCAGAGGCAGAAGCTGGGAAAAGCAGCCTTCCTGCACATTGTGAAGAAAGGGGGAGGCAAGAGTGACACATTACCCAACCCTCTTAAAACTGAAATCTCTAAAGACGAGCTCAGTGGGGAGAAAGTACCATCAAGTAAAGATGATATGTGTGTGGATGCCCTGAGGGGGGACAAAGAGCTGGAGGGAACCACCCCACCAGGTGCCTTAGATGCAGACAAGAAAGGGAACAGCGGAAGCTTCTATCTAGACGAAGAGTTGGACCTGAATGAGTGCAGCCGCTCCATCGAGCTGTTGAACGACGCCATCGGCAGCATCCAGCAGCAGATGATGCAGCTGTCACTGCAGCAGGAGATGCTGATGAAACAGAATGTGCAGTCCCCCCCTACTGCAGCTCCACCTCCTCCTGTCACCAGCGACAAAAACGGTGACCCTAAGGCAGGGGTGAGCTTTCATTTTGTGGAGCACCTCTCTGGCGCTGGCACCGGCACCACCCCCACCAGGAAACCCCCCAAGCTGAGCTCAGGCCGGAGCTCCAGGTCGAAGCCGTCAGAGCTGAAGATAGCCAAGGAACAGAGCCGACAGGCCTCTAGGACTCTCACCCCCACCCAGAGTGGGTCAGAGACATTACCACACCCAAGGCAGTTTGCTGGGGGCAGGTCCCCCAGGGCCGAGCAGCCCGACAGTCCCAGAAACCCCACAGCGGGGGAGACAATCGACAGGCCAGGCTCTGGCCACGTTCGGAGCGCCACCTTCCGGCTTCGTGACGAGGCGAACCTGCGCCTCCCTACCCGAGTGGACCTGACTGCGCTGCCTGCCCCAGAAGTGTCCTTTGACGAGTGCCTGACCAGCACCACGAGTGAGTCTGAGCTCAATTCTTCAGATGGTTCAGGGAAAGAGAACATACCATCAGAGGAGGTGCAGCGCAGCAAAGCCCACCTGATTGAGGTCGATCTGTCAGAGCTGAAAGACCCTGAGGAAGAGGCTTCTGTGGACAGAACAACAGAAGAAGGTGACGGAGAACAGAAATCAGTCATGGGTTTCTTCTTCAAGGTAATGCATTTGCATGAAAATGCAAATATTGATTCATTCAATTTTAATTTTTATTACTATGGTGATTATTTTCTGAAATGCTCTAGTAAATCGTCTAGTAATTATCTGATGATACACGAGTTAGTGCTTCTACTATTTCAAATCTTGACACACATTTTTAAAATTAAGAAACAAATAAATATTGGCCTATGTAGTAAAATTGCCCTTTGTCGTCTGGTGAACTGATAAATACAACAAAAGCCACCTTTGAAAAATCTTAATTGATTATCTGTTTTCTGATTCACCTATTTAATTATTAATTTCAGCACTAAATTAAATATTGATTGAATTCTTTAATACACAAGTAATGTTCTGTTATTCTTTTCTGCATGTCCTAGGACGAGCAGAAGGCCGAAGATGAGCTTGCTAAGAAGAGAGCAGCATTCTTGCTGAAGCAACAGAAGAAAGCTGAGGAGGCTCGACTCCGTAAACAACAACTAGAAGCAGATTCCGAGCTCAAACGAGATGAAGCCAGGTAACTTATTCTACATTAGCATTGGATTTAGATGTTGTTCTTCCAAAAAAAAAGCTAAAATTCAGGTGTTGGGTTTGTTTTAGACGGAAGGCCGAGGAGGACCGCTTGCGTAAAGAAGAGGAGAAGACACGGCGGGAGCTGATAAAGCAGGAGTATCTGCGGAGGAAGCAGCAGGAGATGTTAGAGGAACAAGGCCTCGTCAAGCCCAAAACCCCCAAACCGAAGCAGAAACACAGACCCAAGTCCGTCTTCAGAGAGGAATCCTCCAGCGATAATTTCTCCAAGGGCTCTTCCACACGTAAGATTGTTACATCACTAATTTGACATTTAGCTGTTCTTTACATGTCTCAGCTTGGTGCGCTCATTGAGTAGTATTATTGGTTGTTGAAGATGTGATTCAGGGTTTCCTGCATTGTTTTATAGTGAAGGTGGGCAACCTCGTCTGATATCATATAAATGCACGAAAAAAAATAATTATATGAAATAAAACTAACTTGTAGAGAAAGAAGACTTTGACACAGCAAATGCCATTTATTTAGTTGTGGTTTGTTCAGGCTGTTGCATGTTTATGTCCTGTGGGTAAATTCTTAACTGTGAATGTAGCAGTTGCTTCTTAAGTGACACTGTACATGACATTTTTACAAAAAATGTGTCCTCTCTGTTTCACATAGCTGACAACCTGAGCAACGCCCAATCAGGCTCCAGTCTGTCTCTGGCCTCTGCTGCGACCAACGAAGCCGACAGCGTCAACTCTGGAGGGGCTGGTTCCCAGCGGTACTCAATGCTTTTATTTTTAAATTTTTTTGTCAGCTTGTGCTTAAAAAAAATTCTGTCCATTGTTAATGTTTAGGATTTACAGTATTTATTTTTCATAGTTTTTGTTGATAAAACTGTCCTCCTTATTGTTCAACCTGTGCCTCCTTTCATTATGTCATCTAGCTGTGACTCTGTGGAGTCGTTTCCAGGCAGTCGTAACAACAGTCGGACTGCAGAAAGAGACTGGGACAACGGCTCCACTGCCTCTTCCATCACTTCCATGGCTGAATATACTGGTAAGTGCACAGCTATGATCAGATGTATTACTGTGGTATCAGACCTGTGGTTGTGTTTTCATTCATCAGCGATGTCAGTGTGTCAGGCCTGCTTTAAACGTGACACAATAAACATGGTCAGTCAATGTCACTGTTTTGCCTTTTTAAAGAAAATGTATTTCAGTTTTATGCAGTTCTAATAATTTGTAATAATCTGACTTGGTTTTTGTTTCTCCTTTAGGACCCAAACTATTCAAGGAGCCCAGCGCCAAGTCGAATAAGCCAATCATCCACAATGCAATCTCCCACTGCTGCCTGGCTGGCAAAGTCAACGAGCCGCAGAAGAACCAGATCCTAGAGGTCAGTTCTCTGCCAGACATGCACCAACTTGATATCTGCTTTATTAAATAAAAAATGCTGTAAATGAACTCTGTTAGAGTAGATATTTGACTGGAATTTTTCTGATTTTGACCATCTTCTAACGTGAAGTTTTGTGACACTGCTATTTCTGCAGCTTGGCCGATTATTTCCTCTGGTCCATTTCTGTAGTACAGATGTGGGGAACACTTTTATTACCTCTGTAAAACCTGTAGCATGAGCCTTGGTTAGACTAGGCTTACTGGATACTTTTGGTATTGACTAACAGAATATTGACAGAGAGGGAGAAATTCTCTAGTCAGCGCATCAAGACTAAAAACAAATAAGTTATTTTTGATTGAAAAAGTCTCTTTGAGGCCAAAAAGAGTATTTCTTCTTATTTTACACCCTCAGGTTGTTCTGCCTTCCTAGGGTTTTAAACCAGCAGGGTTTAACTGTAATATACCTCCTTGTAATATCAGCGCCATATTACTAACATTTTTCTTACTTGTCTAACATCCTTCCCCACTAGGAGTTGGAGAAGTGCGAGTCCAACCACATGATGATCCTGTTTCGCGATGGCGGCTGCCAGTTCCGGGCGCTTTACACGTACTTCCCTGACACAGAGGAGATACAGAAGCTGACGGGCACAGGACCTAAGAGCATCAGCAAGAAGATGATCGACAAGCTGTACAAGTACAGCTCGGACCGAAAGCAGTTCACCGTCATCCCTGCCAAGACTGTGTCGGTCAGTGTGGACGCCCTGACCATCCACAACCACCTGTGGCAGGCCAAGAGAGGTGCTGTGCCAAAGAAAAGCGGAAAATAGCGGGCCAGTTTTAAACCCTCTATCATCCAAATCATCGTATCCCCATCTTGCTTGTTTCCTGAATAGACTGCATTGACGCCCACAGCCAAGCTCACCGCCATGCCTGGTCTGGAAACCTGCTCGGGAGAATCCACCTGCATTTACGGACACGTTGGTCGCCTGTAGGTGGACCACAGTTAAAAAAACGAGGGAAAAAGGGTGTGGGTGTGTGGATGTGTGTGTCCGTGTGTGTCACAGGTGGTCTGAGGAACCGGTGCTTGCAACGTAAAGAGGAACGCCGGCTGAATGAGCTTCTTCTACCTGTGATCTCAGTGCGATCTGTTCAGGTTTCTTTTGGTCCGGCTCGGTTTTTCTACGACGGCCACGACTCAAGCATGTGGCGTCTTTTGTTTCTCCGTCTCTCTCATATGTGGTGGATGTATTTATTTGTTAGGTCAGCACTGTCGTGGTCGAGAGCTCAGCTGCAGCACTACAGTCCTTCCTTCCGTCTGGAAACGCCTTTTCCTTTTGGACGATTTCGGGCAACAGGACGGGGGACTTTCTGTCTCTCTTTTCAGAAACTCCGAAGCAAGGGACCTTTCTACAACCCTTAAAGACTTTGGACTTATTCTCCTGTCCCAACAAAAGCAACAGTCTCTTCCTGCGTGGACTGTCGAATCTGTCAAATCAGGCTGGCATTGCCGATTTTGCCTCACCAGGGAAAAAACCTGCTGCTCTGAACTGTCTTCTTCTTTTGTCACGGGGGAGTTCCTCGGGTCTCCCTCAGACATCCGTTGGCCTTTCACGCATCGTGGTACTATCGTCTATTTATTCAACCGCTTTTTAAACTAGACGCTGATCGTGTAGCACTGGATACGTGTATAGCAAATAAGAAAAAGGAAAAAAAAAAAGTCAATGACGGTCATTTTAAATACTTTTATTTGTCTAAACATCCTTTTTCTCGAGGGTGAACGGTAGGTTTTGGTACAGAAAATGACGCTCTGTTTTGTTTTTAGCTTTTTTTAATGATTAAAGCAACGTGGTATAGAGTTTGAGCTGATGTTATGTGTTTTCATCATAACGGGAATTCTCTGATGTTTAGAGCTTAGTTGTGTTTTCTCTCCACTGGGCACTCTTGAATTGTCCTGTATAAAGGTGCACTCATGAACACTTGTCGACGGCTTCTTTCATGCAATGTAACTCCCCCCTCCTCCCCCCCAAACTCCCCTCCCTGAGTGTGTTTGTCGGCCTGTCCCATCTTTAACGCACGAGAGCGGCACACACACACACACACACACACACACGCACACTCTTGTGAAGAGTGTTTTTGTGCTGCTCTGTAACCATTTCGAATGACAGTATTTGATATATTCACAAAGGGGTTTCTGTGTGTGGGCGGGTGGGGGACTGTGGTTCAGTTATGTACCAACATTAAAGAACATTCCTCCAAAGTGTTGACAAACACTGCCACGTCGTCTCTCTCTTCTCTCTGTCTTTTCAAAAATCATCAAAAGTGCTTTTCTAGAAACCGTTTGTTGGCCTCGAGAACAACCAGAAGTGTTGCACGAGCACTTTACTTTCTGTTTGTTGGGGAATTTTACCTTCCGAATGGGCATAAAAAACTAAGAACTAATTAATGACACTGCTGTTGTAAATTGTGGGAACTAAACCAAACACTAAGATTTAATACTGACATGTAAAGCTGAAGGGCCTCCACTGATATGATACTACTGCTGTCTCCAAAAACAACAAAATACTTGATAACTCATTTGCTGCATTTTGAATTGTTTTTGGGGCGTTTGGGGCGGGGGAGGTGGCGGACCTTTAAATTGTATGTGAGTGTATTTTTATGTTAACTAAAAGATTGTACTGGCATTTGGTCACCATTTTTGTTACACTAGTGTACTTTTCATCCTTGTTGATTTTATCTTCGATCCCATGCCATCTATTTATTTTGAAAATGGAAGCACTGAAACTGAATAAATTTTCAAGTGAATAAAAGTCACATTTTTCATTTTTATTCTTTTCTCATGGCTTGAATTTGTCCATTTGTGAGACTCACTGTTTGTTTTCCTTTGCCGGTTTTAAACACCACACTGATTTTGATCTCTTAACAGCTCGTCACAAATGTAGTTTTCAGTTTTTTTCATGTTTTTTTTTTTTTTTTTTAATTAAGATGCTGCATCTTTTCACTGGAATGTAATATTTTCTCTTCATTTATGAGCTAAAATCACAGGGGTGGGTGAATCTTCTCAAAGCAAAGAAGCAAATGTGTCATCCAACATGACACTGGGGTTTCTAATTTGAGCAATCTAAGTAGTCAAAACATCTTCAGCCTCCCCTGGTGCTAACTGCCTCACACTCTACCACCCAACTGGAACAGCGGCTCCAGTGCCTTTAACGCCAGAACTCATAACCATGGCAAACTCTGATCTGCCATGGCAACAGTGTTTCTCTTTCACACCTGCTAGTTCAGGTGATCGTCGGACCTTCAAACTCACCCCAGGTTAGAGTCCAGGCTGTAAACCTGCATCCTGCGTCGATCCGATCGGTCACCATGAAGGGTAAGTTCTCGTCTTAAATGCTCAACCGTAGGAAGTGATGATACGTTGAAGCTGATCTGATTCCTCTGTATCTCCACAGTTGTTGCTGGTCTCGCTTTGTTGCTGGTAAATGTGCGTTTGAGCTGTTCTTGTTATGGAGAGGGACAAATTTTATTCTGCCTGAACATACCAACAGGTGAGGACTTGAAGTTTGATGAAAAATGTTTAATGATACACTGTAAAGTAGATTTACTTTAGTTTTTTACTTTAGTTAGATTTATAATTTAATGTCTTCTGAAATAAATGTCTTCCGTTAGAAAAATTGGAGCCCGATCGATATATCAGTCTATGATTGGCCGATATCAGCCTATCACATATTGATATTGATATGAAGTGTTTTTCTGGTAGACGATGCAGGAATGTAATATGCACTGTAATCCAGAGTGAGAGAGAAGAATCAGCTCTCAGTAATGTAAACTAGACTTGGTTGACAATGAAATGTTAAATTATTCTTCAATAAACTTACTGTTTGAGAAAGCTGCCGTCTGAGTCCCTTTGCAGAGTCATATTGGTTCACAATCTACATAGAAAATGTCTATTTTCATTCCAGCTCAAAGATTCACAGTATTTAAAGGGGAAAATCTGTGAATTCCCCTCTAAAATTGGAATTAGTCTCAAATCTCGTATCAGTCAGTTACCAATAAAAAATGTGAATGAACTCTCTCATCCTCAAATTAATTTGTTGTCAGTCTGGTGATGTGACGTTGCATAACACTACCACTAGATGGCAGCGCAAGAAGGACTTGTGGTTAAAAAAAAAAATGATTGCCACAAAACACAGTACCTATGTATGTTTTTGCTTTCAGAAACCTGCTCATATACAATAGGTTGAGACACTGATGTCCCCTTTAATGTCCTCATCTTACATCAGCTGCATTAATGCGGACATTTTACCAAAATAAAACCAAAATGCTATTTAAAAAAGGGTCTACAAACACCAGAACAGTTCATGTAAAACTTGTGTTGCAGTTGACTTTTTCTATTTCAGGTTCCATATCCAAAAGCACCTGAATGTAATTGTAATACTGTTCTCTTAGCTTTCGGGCCCGGTTACTCATCTCTGGTGATGATTCTGAAGGATGTCGGGGAGATAAACTCCACTGTGTTACGCAGCGACAGCCTCGCCTCTGTAACCCGGCTCAGGATTGACAGTGCTGGTGTCACAGGGATTGCTGAAGGGGCCTTCAGTTCTTTCCAAGACCTCACAAATCTCAGTTTAAACCAGAACTTGTTGAGAGAGATCAACCCAAAGTGGTTCAGCTGGCCCGGGACCCTCAGTGAGCTCAGCCTCACAGAAAACCAGATTGAAGCCCTGAAGGAGTTCACGCTCAGTGGGCTCGCCAACCTCACGAGTCTTAGTCTGAATAAGAACAGGATCAGGACAATTGATCCAAATACTTTCAGCTCCCAGGCCCTCTTGGCGGAGTTGGACCTGTCTGAGAACAGGCTGACTCAGGTTTCACCTCAGGTCTTTAGGTCTCTCAGGTCCACCAGGATCAGACTACATGGGAACCCCTGGGACTGTTCCTGTGGAGCTGAAGACTTTATTGACTCCGTAAAAGGTTTGTGGAATATAAGAAAATACAGGGCTTTTAAACAGTCGTAATAATCCAGCTCAGATCCTGAGCGCTTTAGGACTTAAAATGTCGGTTAAATATGGATTTTGAGAGTCTTGAATTCATTGGATTAATGAACTGAATGTTACTTATATAAAGTTTAAATGTGTCTTTGGCAAACATTTGTATTGATCATGCTGTAACAACGAAACCGACCTGGAACCAATGCTGATTTTTCTTCATATATCTCTCATACTTTGCAATGGAGTGAAACAGTTCTTAAAGGACCAGTGTGTACATGGGATTTAGTGGCATCTAGTGGTGTAGTTGCAGATTACAACTAACTTGTTTCACCCTCCCTTTCCAAACATAAAAATGAAATGAATTCAACTATTCTTATTTTAATTTGAAGAACTTTTAGAAACTTTAATGCCTTTTCTTTTCTCAGATCTACAGAGCAGATCTCTGCTAGACAGACAGACGGAGGTGACCTGCGAGAGTCCTCCATCTCTGAGGGGTCGACCTGTGTGGAACGTGTCGGTGTGTGTGACGTCAGTGACACCGCCCAAACCCACTGACCTCCCCACAGCAGCCCCAGCGTCCACTGGTACATCTGGTTCTCCTGTTTTCAGTTTTGGTCAAATTCCTCACCATTACCACCAGGATATGTTCCACTCCTTGTGTATAATTTGTGTTTAATATCTTTGCTGTTCCTTCTCGCAAAAGTTGCAACAACACCTCCATCACGACTGACTTCAGAGACAGAAACCTCCGTCCAACCCAAACCCACTGAAGCACCTTTAGTAAACTCTTCACACATGGGTACATGTGGTTCTTCTGCATGTCTGATGTTCCTCACCGTTAGTTATATTCAGTCTGTGCTTAGTATATCCATCTTTCTCTCTAGCAGCACCTCCTGCACGACCAACATCAGAGACAAAAACCTCAGGCCAACCCAAACCCACCGATATCCTCACAACTGTCACTACACCTACTTCAGAAACTGGTACACTGGGTGCTGCTTGTCTCAGTTTTGTTTATATTTCGATTTATTTATCGTTTGTTAGGGACAAAATAAGAGATACAAAACTTGTATGTTGACCTGTCATCTCTTTTGCTCATCTAGAGGAGTCCCCGCTGCTTCGTATCATGTCCAGTTATGTTCTCACACACTTTAATATTATTAAACTTCTGATAATGAGGAGCTTATTCAGGTCATCCATATCTCCATTTGACACGTACAAATCTCACCTGTTCATTACAATAGAATAGTAAAATTCATGTAATATTCTGACTTTCTTCTCAAAATATTTATTTATTTATTTATATTATATATTAATATTCTTGAAATCTCCATTTTATATTTCATGTGATTTGACATTTTCCACAGTTGTCCACCATTTTGAATTTGATGCAAAACACTATTTATTTTTACTCTCTAACTATATTTATTTTGAACTCTCCTAAATTCCATCCAGTTTTCGCCAAAGCTGCTACTAAATATAAAATGCAGTAGTATAAGTAAATTTGTATTTAAAAATTCTCAACTTTTCATAATATTTTATAAACAGAATTTAATAATGTGTTAGTCTCTTGTAATATGACTTTTGCCATGACATTGCAGCTTTCTTCTCTTAATACTATGACTTTATTTCTCATAAAACCCGGTTAAATTTCTTCTTTTTTTAATAGAAACCTTTATTCTCATGCCAGACTGTTTTCCTATGACTGGTGGCCATGTTTGTGCAGGCCTGGCATTTTTGACAAACTACCATAACTCCTTAACACAATACATTATAACTAAATCTAGATGACTGTTACACACAGCTACTCTGAGTCATCCTAAAGGTTTGATTGTATTTCACCTGCAGATGGCGCCACAACATAATTAGCAACAGCTCAGTGGTCATGACTCTAACTCTGAAATGTTACACAATTCATCCACGTGCAAAGCTCTCATTTCTTACTGTAACAATCTTTATTTATTTCTAACTGAATGTATGTTGATGCTGAGCCTCAGCAGCTTTCCTTCCTTCAGAAACGTATGTGACATCACCACCGTCAGTAACAGAGATCTCTTTCCATCCCAAACCCTCCGATCTGTCCATAACTATATCTGCACCTACTGGACTGACTGGTATGCCTGGTTCTTCTCATCCTTTCATATTTAAACCTTATATAACTTGTGCTTCACATGTCTGTTGTTCCTTCCAGAAACCTGTGTGACGTCTCAACCATCGTCAGACACAAATCTCGTGTGCACCCTCGTCGTTGTGATAGGTACGCTCAGCTCCTCTTTTGCAGGTTTCTGTTTGATTGTACTGAATACAAAAGATACTTAAAGGTAATTCTCTCTCTGACAACTTTCTGTCTGCAGTGGTCCTGTCTTTCCTCCTGTTCGTGGTGTGTTTGCTGGTGGTGCTGCACAGGAGGAAACGCAGCAACAAGACTGTGAAGCCTGGATGTCCAAAAGAAAACAGAGAGGAGGTGAAAGGAGACGGCAGCAGGTTGAGTCAGGCTCAGTCTTCAGGACACTCTGAGGACTCAGAGGACTCAGAGATGGGATGGAGGAGATCCTTTACTGGAGTCAGAGCTAAGTCAGCTAATGCCATTCTCTTTACGTCTCCTGTTTGTGCACCTGTGGAAGATCCAGTGACTTTACAAACTGAGACGGAGGCTCAGTCGAAAGACCAAGCTGAAGGAAAGCAGAAACTGGGGAATGAAAGTGAAGAGGAAGGAGGTTTTGGGACAGAAAATCGAACAAACACCACCGATGTGAATGTTAAACAGGCTGCTTCTGGTAGAAATCTAGATAAAGAGCCCCACTGTGTTTCTGCCAACACTGACACTGTACCTTATCTGAGCATTGGTACGAACCAGAATAATCCTGATGATTTAAAGAAACAGTCCACTGACGGCCCAGGTCAAAGGTCACAGGCAGGAAAAGTTATGGGGAGGATCTCCAGCTGGCCTCTGACTGCAGTTCAGTGGCAGGCAAGATGTAAAATGATGATGAAGGAGGAGGAGGATGAGGGGTCTGATGTCCTTACTGTTTGGAAACCAAAGTTTGCAAGTGAGGTGAAGAAAGTGAAGCAACCGTCTGGATCTGACCGTGACAAACAGGACGAGGACAGAGAGACAAATCCAATAGACGATCCCCTAAAAATCAATGTAGCTCACATGAAACTGGGACACTCTCAGTCCTCAGAACCAAATGAAAGGACCACTTCTTTCAGTGAGGCTCGAGCCCACGCAGAAGAGCCGATCCAGGACCCCGCCACTGCGAGACAGACAGTCGGTGAAACCCACAATCAGAAACAGGAAAAACCTGGTGGTAACCAAGACCTGAAACCTGCAGAAAAGAACTCCAGCAAGAGCAGCAGCAAGGCGGAGCAGAGGAACGAACCACAGCAAGCCACGACCATCAGACAGAGGGCAGAGGACAGAAGCGCCGTCTCAAAGGCTCCCTCCAGTGGGGCCTCGCCTGATGACGAAACGCTGCTGTCTGGCAACGAGTACGCCTTCATGGACCTGCTGCACGAAGTCTCGCAGAACAACGGCCGCTGGACCAGAGACAGGTGGAGGCAGATACACGTCAACAAGCAGCGCCGTTAGGACAGAGAGTGTAAAGAGGCACTAACAACACTGTAGTTTCATTCTGTCTGATGTGTTTGACCTGCTGCTGCTGCAGTTAAAGGTGTTTGTGTGAGATAAAGTCAACAGTAAAAGCAACTGTTTGACATTTTGGGAAATACCACTTATTCACTTTTTTGTTCATGACACTTCTCATAAAGTTGAGAGACAGATTAAAAAAAAAAAAAAAAAAGATGGTCAAAACCTGTCGAGATATCCTGACGTCTTCTCTAGTTTGGGTCAAGCTCCAACACATATGAATTCATTCCATTTGGTGAATTTTAAAATGGTTCAACTGTGTTTATTCCATGGTAACATACTGTAAGCCAGGCTAGCTCTTTATGCTACACGTCTGTTCACACATATACAGCATACAGATAAGACTGGTGTCAATTTTCCCATCTCTCAGCAAGAAAGTGAATAAGTATTTCCTGAAACTATATCCTCAAGAAAATGATTTTTAAACTTTTAAACTTAATAACACTGTAGTTGTGAGAAACTTCACTATGATAAAATAATACCACTCGAATGAAAAGAAAACTGTGATTAAATAGTTCAGTTCCATATTTATCTACATGTGATATTCATCAAGTCGTCATTTGAAGATCGGAGATCAAATAAAAAAGGTCTTTCGAGTCGTTTTATCTGGCTGCATGCAGCATTTATTTGTTCATATTTTTTAGGTCGAGAAGTACACTCGCATCTCATAAGAAATAGTACAAAATGGACCAACTCTTTTATGACAATGCCTTAAAAACATAAAGTGGAGGTAAACAGAATACGTAGGCTGTTGATAACACCTAGACAACATGCATGTTCCATTCATATAAATACACAGTATCAAATAATGGCTCCAACTTGCAAGCAGTTGACTTGATTATGGGTTTCTCTAGCCACGGGACTAAGTGACACTAAAATGTCCTGCTAAATGTACAAAATTATCATTCTTGGCAAGCTTGTATATCAAAACATGCTGTTTAGTGTTTGCATGCCCCTTGTGGTATTGTAAGTATGGACAGTAGGAGGTTTGAAGTGAACTCCTCGGAGTGTGATTGGTCAGAAAGTGAGGACGATGTTAAATGAATGGGTCTGAACACCGATCGTACCCTCATCGTGGTCGCTCACATTTTCCCTCCTCAGCTCTCCTGCCCTGTAAACTGACACCTCTGAGGGGCCCGCTGAGCAAAGATCAACAGTACATTTCAAATGGGAATCTGTGCAAAGTATGTACACTGCTAAACATAAAAAAAAGCTTATGCTGATTCTTCATAACAAAAAAAAGAAACCAAAGATCTAAAAGAGGAAACAATCCATCTGAGATTACATCATCGTTACTATCACTTCATATTTCTTTAACAAGAATGGCACTCACCAAAATAAGCTTTTCAGACACCTGAATAAATCAACTAAATGCATGACATGTTACTGCACATTTGACTGTCTTTGCTTCACAAGAATAGCTGAATTCTGTCCATCGCATTGTACAGATTCAGATTAAAGGGTCATGCTGTTATGCTCTCGTCATCCCCGCAGAGCGTAGTGCAAAAATAGTTCAAGTCCTCTTTCTTCACACAGAAGAGACCGCAACAAAAGAACAAAGAGGCAAACAAAAAGAGAAGTTACTATTTACAGTGATTGAACTGAACACTGAGGAATGATAAACCTAGAGGAAATAATACTGCACACTGACTCTGCCTTATACACAAGGTGTGGCCTGTACAATTTGAAGAGGAGAGCACTTCGTCTTCAGCTCAAGTACGTTCCAAATTGATTTAGAAATAGACTGTACGGTGGCAGCCTGTGCAAAACGGTTCTGCAACCAGTAATACTGCAACTCCTAAAAGAGTTCGGAAAGTGGAGCATCACAATAAATATCTACCATCAACTTTAAAGGAATTAAAGTTACTAGAGCCTGACTTTTGGGGCCAATACGGATATTTGAGTGAAAACAATTTGATAATGATATATCGGCTAATATTAATTAAATACATTCGGGGAAAAAAATATTCCTGATAAGGATACCTCAAAGTAATAGTTTGACAATTTGGAATATACACTTCTACTTCCTAAACGTTAGATGAGATGATCGATACCGCTCTCATTTCTGTCACATGAAGCCGCAGCGAGGAGCCCCTCTGACGGTCACTAAGTAACACTTTATAGTTTATTTAATCCACTGATACGAACACGTCATTCTGTCATTTACAGGTTTTTGTATGGATTAAGCAAACGATGTTAATTACTAGCCGTTTGCCCGTTTCCATTAGCTTAGCCCTTATGCTAAGCTAAGCTTCTTATTCATCGTACAGATGTGAGAGTGGTGTTAAGGTTCTCATCTGAATCGCTGCAAAATAGCAAATAAACGCATCTGCCAAATAATTATTCCTTTAAATCTGGTTAATAAAGAGTTGTGACAAAGATACGTACTGAGTGAGACATTTTACATGGAAAATGGCACAAATAAAGCAAGATTGTGTTTAAGTTTAGCTGAGAGAAGTAAGACTGATATATAAAAATGTTATAACACTTGAGAAATACTGTAAACTATACTGAATTATAAGACATTACTTAAGTATTTTTGATACTTGATGATGATTAATTTAGCCTTCATTTACTGACACTCTTTTTTAGCATTTCTCAACTGAAATGTCTTGTTACATATTGGCTGACACATCTTTGATGAGCTAATCAGCTGATAATATTGGCCCAGCCAATGTCCCTGTCAGGCTCTAAAATAACAGAATAAAATAAAAATAACACTGATATCATAAAACAGATGCAAAATGGCACATGATGCACAAATCATTTTCAAAGGTATTTACAGAGCAAGAGAGTAAACAAAAAGAATGGCACACATTGTAGCAGACATTATTTGGTACACTTAAAGAAATAAATTAAAAATATAATAACGATAAACACAACGGAAATCAGTTTCCGAAACAACATAATTGAGAGAGAAATGCTGATTCTTCTAATACGGCTGATAAAAGTGCCACTACAGTGTGTATATTCACAGATGTCGTAAAAAAGTTTGTGCTCATAAAGAAACTTAAACTCCTGTCTGATTAGAAAGAGACAACATTTGTAATAAATTAAGAAAAGTGCACATGTACTGGAATTTCGTGGTAAATGCTTTGATTGCTTGAGATTCGTAGCGGAGGATGGAGTAGTTGCCCCAAGATTCTTTTTTTTCTTCTCGTGAGTTTAGGTAGAAACAGGCGTAGAGCAAGTCGGTCTGAGTCGTGGCACGAGGGCAACTTCACTCCTGAGTGAAATGGTGATGTGATATCCTGTACAGTATGTGCACGGAAAAACAACCCTCTCCTGGCCGTCGCTGACCTCTCACGTCGATCAAATCTCTCAGTCCTTTGGTTGGAGGGAGGGAGCCGTTTCCAGTGCCGGGTTCTCGGTTTCAGGTGGTTTTGTGGGTGAGGTGTGTTAGGGTACAGTAGACGCGTGAGAGGAGTCGGAGTCGATGACGAGGCACTCTTCATGCGTCCTCCTGTAGCAGCTCAATGGGGATCCGCAGCTCTCTCTCAGGGCCGTCTGTTTAAATGTTGACTAATTCTGGTCTGACACTGAGAGACACATAATGCACATTCACTATGGACTGCTGTTCTTGGCCCGAGACAAGCCTTCATCTTTGTGAGACAAACGAGCTCTGTCGGCCCAGGCGGGGCTTAGACGTTAAGGGTCAGGGTGTCGAGGGGGGTGGGGGGGGGTTTCAGAGGTGAGTCTCGTCCCTCGTCTCTGTGCCAAACTCCTGCTGGTTCTTGGTGGTGGGGCGGGCCTGACCCCCCTGCGAGTCCTCTGGCATGTGTGCCAGCGGATCGGACCGGATAATGTATCTGCAAACACAAAGTCAACGTTACTGTAACTGCTAGTAGCAACGGTGGCATCATGATGCATCCATCGCGAGCCAGGCGGTCAAAATAGTATAGTTAGTCATGCATGTTATTACACAGGATCCCCAACTACTCAACAAGTCACTTTAACAGTACTATAGTGTAGTAGTTAGTTAGTGTGAGTAGTATTCAAATAGTACTTTGAATAGAGAAAGAAGCAGGCAGTAATACAGTACTATGATAATACATAAAAATACAGCAAAAGGAAAAAGAAGTGATCTCCCCCGATAATCCACAGGATAATTAGTCCCACCCTGATCACACACACCACACAACACACACACACACACACACATAAGAAACTACGAGATTTCAGCCACCGTACTTGCGATATGCATTGTGGCGACAAAACTGTAATAAAATAGTGAAAAATGAAGTGAAACTAAATGGTAAAATGTTCTCATTATCAGGCTACACACTGACACCTGTGGCACCATGCACCAAAGTCTCCTGGACGTAAGAGGAAAAGAAAAAGCGGGATGTATCCTCTGATCCTTACACAATGTCGTTGAGCTCCAGCATGGTGTCAGGAGGAGGATTGATGAGGACGTAGGACAGTGTGTTCTGGTGGTCGTTCATCTCGTCTGGAAAAAGAGACAGAAGAGACCTTCAGAGCTGCTCTGGAGCCCTCCCTCGTCCTCCCCCATTATACAGTACATCAGCCACGAAATGAGCCCTCTAACCGCTGAAAATATGAGCCTCCCTCGTTTTCATCCTTTCAGTGAGAACAAAGGCAAAGTAACCCACGTACAGTATCAGAGCAAGCGGTGGGAAAATCTGAGACACATAGTTGTGGGGACGCTCTTTTACCGCTGCTTGTTACAACTGTTAACAACAGTTTAACATTTTTAAAAAATTACAGTAACCTATATCAGTAAAGGAATTTATAAATCAAGCTGCCAGTACAGTTTTAATAAAATAAACAGCTGAATGTACATCATTTGACTACAGCCCAATATTGACATCAATATTTGTGAGTTTAAAAAACAAAAAGCTACTATCTGCTGATGTATTATCAGATTTTTTAAACATGAACAATCACTGTAATATATATATATTTTCTCTCTTTCTTTTTATAAATTGTTACCAAGATACATTCTAAGCAGGACAGTGTACAGCCAGCGCTCTCTGCTGGACAGACGATGTGATGGCAACTGTTTCTACATCACCTACATAGTTTGGCATTTCTGTACTGAAATTTCTTACTTATAATCAGACATATACACTGAATAGATTTATTATTATTTATTATTTAATACAAAATACATCGATAAATCACTTAATGTAACTCTTTTAGCCTTCTATACACATTTAGCTGTAAATAATTTCCACATAAAAAGTTGTTATATAAACAGTAAACATTAACAGTTGTAACAATACTCTTTTGCTGCATCCATAATATAATTAAGATAACCATGGTAACCGTTTTGCAATATGGAGGTCTTATATTTGACTAAGAATCAATAAGAGGAAACAGATTTTAACATTATGTCTCCAGATGAGTCATATCACTGTGAGTGACTGTGTGTGTGTCAGTGTGTGTTATTTATGTCTGTATGTATGTATGTATGTATGTATGTGTGATATGATATGAACCTCTGCTGTGTGGCTCCTACTTGCGTGATGGACAGAGGAAGGGAAAGGAGGGCACATGTGTCTCCATGACAACCCACCTGCTTGTGGCCCTTTATAAAGCCAGGCGGGGTGGAAGAGAGAGAAGGGCTAACCGTTACTGACAGGGCACTTTGTGGAACAAGGGGAGGCCCATGCTGCCTGCTGACTGAAACAGCGACCCCCCATGCGCAGCGTCAGAACGGAGCCAGCATGCAGACAGCGTCCGCGGCTACGCAACAAACCGATCTCCATCGCATTCCTTTTTTTTTTTTCTCCTGCGCATTCCACATCGGACCAGCAGGCTTGGTAAGGCGGCAGGTTGCCATGCCAACGTACAACACTTAGCCCCCCCCCCTCCCACACACACACACACACACACAACCCACCAAGAGTGATGTGTGACACACCCCACAGACACACGGGGACATGCTCCAGCATCCGTCAGACTGGACCAAACGCAGAGCGACTCAAACCAAACGCAGAGTGAAGCAGAACGCATTGGGAGTGTGAGAGTGGAAGAGGTCAACCCGATGCTGCTGCTGGAAGTTACATTCATTCTATAATAGTAAAAGAAGTCCCTTGTAAGTGGAGAGAAAAGATGTAGGATTTATATAAGTGATGTTCAGGACTGTACCAATTTGTTTCCCCCTCTAATCCAAACTATTGTACAGTACTCGGTGTATGAAATATGGATTATACCATGGCCACAGAAAATTCATAGAAACTCATTTCTGATTAGCAGTGGGAAAAAGAAGAAACCTCATACTGACAGTGCAGTGACACCTGCAGTATTGTGTCAGTGGTGGTTTTTATTGTTGTGGCTTTGTAGTCCACGACAATGCAACAGCAACTTTGAGTCAACTTTGAGTGTTTGAGGCTGCTTTTTACGGGCTATTGATCCCAATCACACAGTTGGATGAAGGTCAGTTGTCTTTTCCAGACTTGCATCACTGCATCACTTGCTGAAGATCAGACTGAAGGCAAAAAAAAACCCCGCAAACAAGCAAGAAATATGGGCTAGACTATTGATTCCTTTTAGGGCTTGTGGCGTTTTCTTTATACTATGACAGTTGTCC